ATGTGTCCAAAGATTCGATGTGATGTTTTTGGGAACTAAACATGGCCTTACTACTAGGACTACTCAACCATCCATGTTTTATTATCTAAAAAAACAACAATGTTTTAAAAATTCTCAATTTCAAGGGGGAAAAAAACAAATCTCAAACCATGTGGTGCAGTTACTACTCCTCCATGCAACAAGAAAGAGATGGACGGCGGGCAAGACCACACTAGGCGATGTGATGAGATGGGAGGCGGCCACTCTAGCCTGCGATGCCTCCTCACCTCACCTCCCTGTCTCGTGGACAGGCAGCATTTGCCCTCTCTGGGACGCATAATTAAACACCCCCCCCCCCCCCCCCCCCCCCCGCGGCGCTGTTTAATCTGCTCCGGAATACTACGTACTACGCGCTCCGGCAGCGTCTCCCGTGCCACCCCATCCTCCTGCACGGATCCAAACACCCAACACCGCATCCCGCCCAATCGCCGGTCTCCACGTGGACCCCTTATCCGTCCGACCCAACGGCCACTGACATGTGGGACAGACGTCTGTGGGGCCGAGGTGTCTGTGGGAGTAGTACACGGTGGGAGGGAGTAAAAGATGCTGCGCTGCTGCACGGGGGCCCGCTGTCTTGCTTCCACCCGACATGGGATATTTTGCAGGTGAAAGCAGGGGGCTTTAACTGAGGACGACGCAGTGCTCTTTTATCACGACTTAACTCTCGTGTACTCCCTACGTAACATTTTAAGTGCGGCTATAATTTTTCACGTTTAACTTTGACTGTTTGTCTTATTTAAAAAATTTTAAAAAAAATAAAAACATAAGTTAAGAGTAAAGTACTATTTATGTTTTATCATCTCATAACAACAAAAATAGTAATTATAAAAAAAATAAATAAGACGAACGATCAAAGTTGGATGCGGAAATTTATGGTTGCACTTAAAATGAAACGAAGATAGTAGTACGGGTTCCATTGTTTCCTTGATGGCATGGAGTATTTCCTCAGTCTTAAAAAACCAAGTCCTAGCTATCTATCTGGATATGATATATGTACAGATATATAGTCAGGAGTTGGTTTTTTTTTTTTTTTACAGTTGGAGTAAGTCAAAGCTAGGACTTACTAGTCAGGAATCGATTTTAAACTCGGGTTACAGTTTGCAAAATACTAGGCTGAAGCGGTATAATTTCACCTATTACTACTACATTTTTGCCAGATTCAGTGTAATCGATGAACCTACTTCATCTTTATGAATTAATCCCATTTCGGTTAATACTCATTGTCGGTTGGTTAATTGGCTTATCCGGACATAACTATAAGAGTGTGTAAGATATTATATTTTGGAGTACAATAACTTAAAGTTGTCATTGATTGTTTTCTTCTATTTTCAGCCTTGGCTTTTCAATAATTGATAGCATAGTATAATTATTTTATTGCTTCGTTTATTTTTTATTTGCTTATAAAAAATATAATTTGTAGCTCCACCATCAAGAACCCCACGATCAAGTCTTACATAAGAGAAAATATATTTTTAAAACCTAATATAATTACAAAATTATAAAGTTAATTTTCATGGCATATAGTTTACGAACTTCTATGAGTTCAACTTGATAAATTTTTTTCCCATAATATGGTTACTTAAAACGATGTGTTTTTTTCTCCAAAAGGGAGAACCATGTTTACGGGATCATTGAAATAATTATTTATTTTATCCTTTAAAAATATGTTCTCTAAAAATACTTTTGTTGTAATGCTCGGACCACTTGTTTCAAGGTAATATTATTAAGTTTGTTTCTAAAATATTTAATATATCCCTATAATTAAATAAATAATTCTCAGCAATAATCCACTTGATAATCTCACTCAAACAGGGCAAGACTCGTTCGGAGCACATGGATTTTACAAGTTTTCCTAATGAACTAGTGATTTAGTTCCCATAGAAATCATTTAGAGAAAAAAGGCCAAGCGAAAGCACACCACCGGAGACGGAGCTAGAGTATACGAGGGGATGCCTAGAAATTTGGTCAAGAAAATTTTTAGCTATAGCTTAGTATCTATTTTTATCATGTGTGCACCCTCTCAATACAAACTTAGTTATCCGTGTCAGCTTAAATTCGATTCAAAATAGAGTAAATTAAGTAAGTGACACCCTTCTCCCTTCTCCATTTCGTTTTAGCTCCACTCTTACACACCACTGGACCATCCTGAGGGTGTGTTCGCTAGGAGATATTCCCAGCAAGGAACACGCGTAAAACGGAACAGTCCATTAGCACGTGATTAATTAAGTATTAGCTTTTTTTCAAAAAATGGATTAATTTGATTTTTTTAAGCAACTTTCATATAGAAACCTTTTTGCAAAAAAAAAACGTATCGTTTAGCAATTTGAAAAGAGTGCGCGTGGAAAACGAAGGGAGGAAGGGAGGTTGGGAAGAGGAGGTGCCGAACACACCCAGCCAGCTCCACTGTAGTACAGCTACTGTCTCTGGCCATGCAGAAGGCGTACACTAATAATCGTTCATCCCAACAGTGTATAGGTCTCAGTAGCCGTGCACGCTGAAATTTCAACTTTCCAACACACAACATCCAAATCGAGCGTAAACAAGGAAATGCGCCTCCAATTATTGAAAACGAATCCCTGCATGCATGCTGTACAAGTTTGTGGCCAGTAAATATCTGACATGGCCAGTAGTAATAATTTGTACTCCTCCTACTAGTACTATACTACTCCTACTCCACATACTACAGGAAGATAATTGCTCGCCTGTTGAAGACGTCGAAAAAAATTCCATGCAAAATGGCAGAAAAAATGATCCATCATTGTCACTGTTCATATGTTTCTTTTATCGCCGTGTGACGTCAAATTAAAACGAGGGGGATGGGCGAGGCACGGTAAAAACGTGGCGTTTGATTCCTCTAATTACCGAGGTGTACTGTAGCAAAATAAGACGAATTTATTTTTAGTGGCACTGTTTTTTCGATGTGCCTGCTGATTGTTTTTCTTTTTGTTGCTTTTTCTCAGATTTTATATGGTGCTAAGCCCTTCTTTAGTTCCAAATTTTTTCTTCAAACTTCCAATTTTTTCATCACATCAAAACTTTCCTACATACAAACTTCCAACTTTTCCGTCACATCGTTCTAATTTCAACCAAACTTACAATTTTAGCGTGAACAAAACACACCCTAATTTGGACATGGTTCTCATACATATGACACAAACTTTTGCAACATCTCACATAGTGACTGAGAGTGAGAGGGATTGTAATTTGGAAGCTGAACGCTGATCGGCTCTGATCATTTGATCTATGAATGATAACTGTGAAAAATAAAATAAGCAACTTAAAGCTTTTATATTTGTATTGTTGATGGTATAAAAGTAACTGCTGAAAAAGAGAATACGATAAACACATTAAAATAGTATTAAAAATCAAGTTTTAAAATTGATATCTGGCAGTGGTTGATAATACAAGAAGACAGTGACAAGCTAAAATTTTAAATTTTATCTTCCCCCAGAAATTCGACATATATAGATGTCAGCGACCATGTCTCTCTGACTTATATAAATGATCTCGTTCCTACACAGTTATCCTCCCTGATAAGTATATATAAAATCCACTAGTATTTCTATTTCTGTAAAGCACTAAATGCGTGAGATCGTTTTATCAACAAGCCGAGCCAATAAATTTGATCTGTACAATTCATGTTTATTCTTGCCTACTGACATTTTACTTTGTTTCATGCAAATTTTAGAATGAATGCGTGGGGGGTATCAGATAGTTCTTAACATCTACTCCATCCGTCTCAAAATATAAAGGATTTGGGGTGGATGTGATATAAATTTCGGGAGTATCGTTTTTTTGATTTTAGATTTGATTTTATGATATTTTTCTTTTATAGTTTGGCTTTGAAATCAATGAGAAATAGGACATGTTCACTTTGCCGCCAAAAAAAACCTTACCATTTCTTGGTAGAGCCAAATATTGGCATTGCTAATATTTGGTAAGATAAAAATATGTGATGGTGTTGTTTGCTTTGATACCTTACTAAATTATGGTGGAGTTTATGTGAGTGGAAGGTCCCGGAATTACCAAAATTTGGCAAAAGTGCAATGGTACAATTCTATTTATTTGTTACGCAATCAAAATTTGGAAATGCTAAAATTTGGTAAGGTTTGTTTTGGTAGAAAAGTGAACAAACCCATAAATATAAATGTTTTACTCATATTTTTTGGTTTAATTTTTCATGGCTTTTATCAGGTGTAGCGCAAATGGTCAGATGCGAGATGCTTAGGGTTTGTTCGATGCCGAAATTAACCCTTTCAAAATTTGGTGTTTGATAATGTCAAAATTTGGTAGGGTAAAATTGTATGGGTGTTGTTTGTTTGTTACCTAAAAATTGGCAATGCCTAAGTTTGATACGGATGAAAATAGTACAGTAGCAAACTGAACAGCCCCTTAATCTCCAATACCAATTTAGAATCAGCTAGGAAGAAATAGATTTGTACCAGTATCAGATTAAAGCCAGCCAATGTCAGTAGAGGCAAAAAATAAACAGTGTTGTCACTTGTGATACATGTGTACCACACTAACGGACAACATACTTCCTGATCTACTCCACCTGGCATTCCTACATTTTTTTTCAATTGACGCACACAATCTTTCTATATACTCCTACTCCGTTTTCCCTAATTATATATTCCGAGGAAACTTGTTGCATCACCATCTTTCTCAACTTGCAGCAGCAATTTGATAAAACTTGTCTTTTTTAAAAAAAAAAACTGCACAATCATGATCACAACCATGACTACAATTAATAACTTGGCAGCAGTAGTAATACTGCACTTCCATCATCAAAGATCACATCAAACTGAACTTTAAAAAAAATTCACACCAAATTGACACACATTCAGAGAGGGAAAAAAAACCAAAATCAAAATGCCAGATCAATTATTATCGCTCTGATTAAGGCAGTAGTACGTACAAGTCCCTCTCTGCGCGTGTGTGCAGGTTTTTAAATAACCGCGGCGTCTTCTCCCCCCTTCCTCCGGAGGAAGAACAGTTCTTCCCGTTTCCCCCGGGACTCAAGAGAGAGAAAGATAGAGAGAGCTCCATCACTCCCACTCGCATAAGTACCCACCCACCACCACCACCACCACGCAAGAACCGCAAAGGAGAAGAGAAGGCGGTTTCCGGTGAAAATTTTGGCCTCTTTTTCGGAAGTTTTTTTTTTCTTCCCCTCTCGTTCTCTTTTTATTCCACCGCTTTGTCGTTCTCGCAATCTCGCTGTCCACCTTCCCCACCCCCCCCCATTTACTCGATCATCACAACGTGCCAATCAATTAATCGATCGATCAGTTTTGTGCGTACGTGAGCGTGTGGAGAGGGAGAGAAATGGACATGGAAATCGTGGTTTTTCTGAGGTAATGTGCTGGAGGAGGAAGAAGAAGAAGAAGAAGAAGCAGCTATTGTTGCTGCTGCTGCTTTCTGGTGAGTTTTTTTTTTTTTTTTTTTTTTTTTTGCATTTCTACTCTGCTCATTCTTTAAAGCTTCTGCAGAAGTTGCCATATTTTTTTTTCATGATTAATGGTGGCCTATCCTACTCCTATCATGCACAGGGATTCCGAGGAGGCGATATGCTTCGCAACAGATCGAGGAGATCAGTCGGTGCCAAGCAAGGAGGCGTCACCGCCATGGCGCAGCCTGAGCCGCCGCCGCCGTCATCGCAATCTTCGTCGTCGTCTTCCTCCTCTTCTCCCGTGTTCCCTTCCCCGAGGCCGTTCATGGCGCTCCCGCACCCGCCGCAGGCTGGGTTCTTGGACGGCGCCGCCGAGGGGCCCTCGTCGTCGATGAGCCCCACCTCCATTCTTGAGACCAAGCAGTTCTGCTGCTCGTCCGCCATGCCGCCGTTCCTGTCGGAGAGGAGCCTCAGGAAGGCCCACGTGGAGATGGCCGCCGCACCGCCGGAGCCGGCCGGCGTCGGCCTCGCCGACGTGCTCCGGGAGCACCACGGGGGCGGCAAGGCCGGCGGCGGCAAGGTGGTGTTCGGGTCGCAGCTCAGAATCCAGGTGCCCACGGGGAGGGCCGTCGAGCTGGTGTCCTCCCCGATCGAGTTCGGCGTCAAGAACCGGGACGCCCACTTGGCGGCGATGTCGCCGGCGAGGAGGTTCCTGCCGGAGGTGGTCAGCTCGCCGTCCGCGCGGGTGTTCGCCGCCGCCGTGGTGTCGCCCGGGGAGATGGCCATGTCGGAGGACTACACCTGCGTCATCTCCCGCGGCCCCAACCCGAGGACCACCCACATCTTCGACGACTGCATCGTCGAGAGCTGCGGCGATGTGCTCGTGGAGAAGGTGGCCGGCGGCGGCGGCGACGGCGACGGCGACGCGGTGCGAACCAATGGGTTCCTGAACTCTTGCTACGCATGCAACAAGCAGCTTGGACATGGCAATGACATCTTCATCTACCGGTGAGTTCAGAAAATAATTGCTTATGCTGTTTCAGACTTTCAGTTGTTCAGAAAAAAAATTAAATGCTAGTACGTATTTTTAAATGATTTGTTCATGCTGAATATGAGATGATCTCAACTTCTGAAGTTGGTATATCAACTTTAGCTGTTTGGCAACCTGATTTGTTGTACTTAAACTGCAAAAATGAGCTAGTGATTACTCTGCAGTTGTTGAGAAGTTTAGTGTTCACTATTCAGGAATAATTATACATATATATGCTGAGAGAAATTAGGCTGGTGAGAAAATAGATTCTAGTATAATGAAACTAGTAGCACATCACCATGTCATCAAAAATGCTATTTTCAAACCAGGGGTGTAGAAAACTAAAGTAGGGTTGATTGATTGCTGAACTGCTCATTAGATGATAACGAATATATGGCAGATGCAGAGTTGCTTTAGAAGGCACAAGTTCTCGGTTTCTTGTTTACTGTTATTTGGCATGAAGGTGGCTTCCATCATTGCAAGCTTATGTCATCACCAATTCTCTGTTGATTTATGGATGGCTCACATGCCTGGGACCTTGATGAGCAGTCCTGGTTTTAGAATCATTTCTGGTTTATGATTGAGGCATGGAAACTGTGACACCTTGGTATCTGTCTTCAGGATCATGTTAATCTTTTATTAAACCAGTATTTGCTAATGAATTTGATCCCCACCTTTATTTCTCTAGTTCATAGTAGAGAAACATTTTAAGTACTTGTTTATTTTGGGATTGTGATGTTTGATACCCTGTTATTTTCTATGTGATGCTTGCCCCTTGTTTTAGCATGTACATTCACATTACAGTGCCATTATGAACGAAGAGGTCCTTGGTTTTCACTTGGATAGCTTCTATAGTATTTATAATGCTAAGAATGCGACATTTCAATTCCATATTGCTTTCACATAGAAAACTATGCAAAGGTGCTGAATATCCTAATGCAGAGGGTTGTGTTAACAATTTTCTAGGGACTAAATTATTTGGCACCGATTGATGTTTTTGAATAAGGTTCATGTCCCGAGCCGTGCTGGTCTCGGTGCTCCTACCCCCGACCATGACCAGGACCAGCTATCATCGCCAAAAAAAAAAAACAAAACCTTTCGCATCATTGTTGCTAGTTTGACAACCTTGAAGTTCCTTGATGCCAAAAGAAATGCTGAGTTTGCTTGAATATGACGGCAAAAGGGATTCGTGCCATGTCTTGTTCTCGGTTTTTCTTCCTTGCTGCATGATCCACTGATCCATGGGAGTGCTAAACTCTAGCTTTGAGATATGTCCCCTAAAACGTTTAGCTACACGCCTTCTGATGCTATCCCTCGATCACAGCTGCCTTTTGCTTCGTGTGCTTTGGACAGAGGAGTAACATGAACAAGCAGAAGAGCAATTATCCCAAAAAGCTCTGTGCTTTTTTATAATTCTGCAGTTAGGCCATTACTGTTCTTCTATGATATAATTGGTCCTTTTCTCTATCTTTTTCAGAGGTGATAAAGCATTCTGCAGCAGTGAGTGCCGGTACCAGGAGATGCTTTTCGACGAGGCGGTGGACAATTTGCGCTAGGCTGTTGAACGAAATGGTCGTTCCACATGAGTATTTCTATGGAGGAGGAAGAAGACAATAGTCCTAAATAACTGAGATGAGATTTGTTTTCTTTCTTTTTTTGTTTTTGTTTTCTCCACTTTTGCGAGATTGGATGCTGTTTTTGGCCATGGAGAAGGGGGAATGATTTATTAGTCTTTTTTGCGGATTAAAGACCTTTGCCCACTTTTGTAAGATGTTGATTATTGATTGCTTGGGGCATCATGTTTTTGTGACTTTCGAGTTAGTTGCAATCTGATGCTTTGCTCTATCCTTGCATGCAAGCTACTTTTGGATTAGATATGATGTGGAGCAGTATAACCTGTTGTATTGCATGAACTTTCAAGTGAAAATATTCTTCAGCAAACTATCAGGAAAGGAGAAGTTTCTGTTCTTCAGAAACTATCAGGAAAAGAAAAGTATGGTGCCTATGTAAGTATGATCACCATCAAATCTGGTCATCTTATTTACTCATCAAAAGCGAAGATGAACAATGGAGAAAACACAAACTTTTTTCAGTGTCAGGGGACAAAAGAAGAGCTAGGATCAGTAGCTATCTTGAAAAGGCTCAGAGGCTTTGGGTGGAGTGTGTTGTGGTAGCAGCTTTGCCATGGCCCTATTTTCCCTTGTACTACTACCAAAGTCCCCACATGCAAAGAATAATGAGAGCTCAACAGCTCCTAATCATCATAGTGTTTCTGTAATTGGTGAGTGTTTTGGACCAGTATGATTATGATTGTCATGTCATTGTTCATGAGGTCTCTACTAGCAGTAGTAGTATCATCTTTTGCCCTGTAGTTCTGCACTGTAGGTGATTCTTTCCCTCCCTTTTCTTTTCTTTGCTTTCACTTTTTTTTTTAAACGCACACACGCACACCCTACCCCTATGAGTACCTTTGGAAGACTGGACCGGCACGTCTTGAGATTGACGAAGTCACCATAGACGCCTCGCTCCTACCACTGAAAAAATAATTAGCCATAAATGCGAGCACCCGTGTCAAATCTAGGATTTGAACCCGGGTGGGCTGGTTCCACCACAAGAAATCTAACCAGTTAAACTATGCTTACTTCGCCTTTGCTTTCACTTTTTGGTTGCTGTTACAGCACAATTGATCGATCGGTGTACTACACATCAATTAAGAACCTGTACTTTGGTAGTGAAATCACGGGCAAGAGCATTTAAGCATTGACCCCTGAGCTACTGTTCTTGGAGACGTTCAGATAGTACGATCTTGTGGTCATTTTGACTGACTGCTTGTTCATGCTTTGTCTAAGCTAGTACTCCGTATTTTCTAAGTTTCGACAAATAATGTGTTCCATCTATGATGAGACAATAATATATATATTTGTGCTCAGAAGTCATATATCCCATTATCATGTGCAGTACAAAATTAGCCTGGAAGATTCCATAAAACCAGGCTTGACTTAACCAAAAATAGTTTAATGAGTCAAATAATTCATCATTGTCGTTGGTCGTTCGATATGAATATTCTTACTCGAAAGTCAGATTATTCCTGCGTATTATTGGAATGTATATTTATAATTCCTATGACATCAGGGGCGGGCCCACTATTGATTCAAGGGTATTCAGACGTATACCCAAGATTTTTGGATAAAAAATAAGTATATGTACTCTATACCTCGTATATGTATTAAGAAATTAAAGAAAAAGGCTAAAACTACTCATTTTGGGCCCTGTTTCATCGTTTCTTCTCTATTGGGCCTAAATTTCCCACTTCCCTCCCCTTTCATCTCAGCCCACAATCAGTTTGGGCCACAACTAGTTCATTTCCCCTCCTCGCCTAGGCACAGCAAACCAAAGCCCTAATTCCCAAATCGGCCAAATCCTAACCAGAGGACCGAGGACGTGCGCGGTGTGGCGGCGAGGACGTGCGGCAGTGCGGCGGCGGCGACTTCCGGCTGCGTCGGCGGAAGGCGGCGCCAAGGCGGGTAGGAGCCTAGGCGGCGCGTCGGGCGGCGGCGACTGCAGTCTAGTCTGCAGCGTGCTCGTCGGCGGCTGCGGCGGAGGCTTCCGGCTGCGGCGTGCGCGGCTGCGTCGGCGGCAGGAGGCGCCGAGGCGTGCAGGCGGCGCGTCGACGGCTGCGGCCGTGCGGCGTTGGGGCTCGGCCAGGCGTGCAGGCCGCCAGTCCGCCAGGCCACCACACAGGTACGCGATGCGGCGGCCGAACGACCACGGCTCGCCGGCCTGGCATGGATTGCGTGAGGGGCTTGATTCATTGATTCATTGCATTGATTTGTTCTAGGTAGTTCAATAGTAGTTATGTTTTCTGGTGGCGACGGCTTGTTTCATTGATTTGTTCTATAGTAGTTCAATAGTTCACTAGCACCGAAGGATTCAACTTCCTCAGTTCCTGTCTTCTTTATTTTTCAGAGTGTTAACTGTTAAGTGTATATTTATTGATAGATTGATAGTATAAAGCTGTAAATATTAGGAATTTAGATAACTTAGAACCATAATATTTAATTTTCAGTGTGTTAAATTTATATATATGATGATAGTATGAGGCTATATATGAGCTGTTGTTAGGAACTTAGAGAATTTAGAGAGGGTGTTTTCTTCGATGAACTATATAAAAACAAGAAGCAAGATGAGCAACAATCTGCATTTATTGGAAGAGAATTTTTTGTACAAGTTAAAGGATGAGGACATCATCACTCATTTTTAAAATATCAAGCATTGAAAAGTTCTCCTCTAAATTGTAAGTTTTTTTTATCATTTTACCATTTTCTATCCTTTACATGTTATATATGTTGCCACTTTCATATGTCGAACAATTAGTACTTATATATGTTAAAGAATTTGGACTTATGATCAATTCTATCAATTTATAAAGTTATGGCCAATTTTGTGTTCTATATGCTATAATATTATACAATTAGTAATGTGTAATATTATACCAATTAATTATTGGACTTCTGGAAGTAAAAAGAATTTTGTTTTACCCCTACCTATTTCGAATACCTAACCTCTAAATCCTGGGCCCGCCACTGTATGACATACTCTAACAAATATACACCCTCCGTCCCACATTCACCCAGAAGTGTTTTTTCCCCCTTTGACAGAGAGTAGTATGCCATTATACGAGGCCATCTAATCCGTTTTCTTCAATGGGGAAATATCTGCCCCAACATGTGACTAGTCAAGAGAGATAGTACGCTGTTCAATTTTATATATATATATATATATATATATATATATATATATATATATATATATATATGACACCACTACTTTTATATATAACGTTTAATAATTCCTCTTATTAAAAAACTTTATAAATATAAAAAACATGTGCAATGCTTACAATACCTTTAATAATATAAAATAAGTAACAACAAAATATATACAATAAGATCTTCCACCGTTCTAAATTACTTGTCTTTTAAGGTTGTTTGCCATATTCTAAGGTTTGGAACAAAACGCTATAATACTCTTAAAAAATAATTTATGGTTAAGGATAGAAGATTAGTTGAGGGATAGAATAGGAAGAAATTTGAATGTGATGTGATTGATGGGACATGTAGTACTTGGGAGTGACAAGTATTATCGGACAAATTTTGAATGATAGAAAGACAAGTAATTTGAGACGGATGAAGTATATTTTATTAAGACGAATAGTCAAACACAATTAATCTCAAAAATCAACAACGTTATACATTTAAGCGGGGATAATAGTTATTTTTAACAAATTAATTACAAATCGAAAAATCGGTTGTTCATCTTTTATTTTGATGCCTGTGAGAGACGTATATCCTCACTCCAATTTAGCTGCAAACCGTTTAATTAGAGCATATTGATAGAACTAGACATCATCTGACAGCCATGGTAATCATCCTCTTAACAGATTACTACTACACTAACACAGACTTCCCGTAGAATGTAATGGGTGCTTCTCCTCGCGTCGCGCCATGGGCGGACGGTCGATCGGACGCCAAGAAGCTGTAGATGACGGCGTCCATCACCTCGCCGCTCCGGCGGACGATGTACCTGCGCAGCACGCCCTCCTTCCTGAACCCGGCCTTCTCGAGCGCCCTCTGCGACCGCACGTTCTCCACGTCCGTCACCGCCTCCAGCCGCTCCAGCCCCGGCAGCTCGTCGAACACCCTCGCCACCACCTGCATCCCGGGCCGCCGCCGTGCGTGGACACGGCGATCGACGGTGACCAATGTTTTAAATAGCGGGTTAATGCATTTAGCGGTTAGCTTCTCAAACAGTTATAGTGGGTTAAATAAAGCTATAACAGCTAAATTGTACATGAGAACAAATAGTTAGAATCCTTCTCAAACAGTTATAGCGGGAGATAGCGTAGGTATATAGGGATATTAGAACCCTGACGGTGACTACTACTTCAAGTCCAATTGATGTGCAAGAACAAGGGACTAGATCGAATAAGGCGTTGGGTTATTTGGTTATACCATTGTGATGGCGGCGGTGGCGATGCCTCGGCCCCAGAGGCCGTGCGACAGGGCGTAGCCGAGGTTGGCCCTGTGGCCGCCCTCGTCGGCGTACGGCCAGACGGAGACCTGGCCGACGGGGCGGCGGCCGGCGCCGGCGTCGTCGTCGTCGACGCAGATGGCGCGGAACCACGGGTGGCCCAGCACCGTGTCCCTGATCTGCGCCACGGCCTGCTCCCGCGCCGCGCACAGCGGCCGCCTCAGGAACCGCATCACGCGCTCGTCCGACGCCCACGCCATGAAGTCGTCGGCGTCCGCCAGCCCGAGCGGCCGGAGCGTCACTGCCACCGCCGGCGGCGAGCCATCCTTCCGCTGCTGTACGTCGACGTCCACCTGATCCATGGATGTCACTGGCTTCTCCTTCGTTCAAGGCTCAAAGTTGATTAAAGCCTGTTTGAGCGAGTTTATGCAAGCTGTACCTTCTACTTAGTATCTTCAGGTGTCAAAAGCTCTCTTAAACAGCTTATATTTTTAACTAGATTTTGAGAAGCTATAACCTAGAATATACAAAATAAACTACTCACTCCGTCCCATTTTAAGTGCAACCATAAGTTTTTGCACCCAATTTTGATCGTCCGTCTTATTTAATTTTTTTTATAATTAGTATTTTTATTATTATGAGATAATAAAACATTAATAATACTTTATACATAACTTATGTTTTTAATTTTTTTAAATAAGATGGATGATCAAAGTTATGCACGAAAAATTCTGACTGCACTTGAAATGGGACGAAAGGAGTAGTAGCTATATTCTCACCAACTATTTTAGAAAACTTAAGGTCCTCCGTACAAGAACTACGATTGGTATAGATTAGTGAGCAAGCAGGGCCAAGGGAGTCGTGGTCATGGATAAAAACCTGACCTGATTAGCTACAACTAATCACCTAATGCTCACTCCGCTTACAAAAAGAATGTCTTCTCTCAAGATGTGTCCAATCAACACGAACATTTACATGTCGATTTTGGACATATAAAAAAAATTCGAGTTTGTATAAAAAAATATTTTGCAACCAGTGTGATTTTTCTTAGTTTTTATATGAAAAGAAAAATAGGTAGTCAAGTATCGAAGTTGTCTGTTGATTTCAAAAGTCTAGAAGGACCTTTTACGATGGGAGCGAAGTAATAAATAAAAAACCTTATCCCAACTTTGCCGGCCACCTATTATTTTCAATTCATTAGTTTATTTTCATGATGTCATTGTCGTAGTTAAGTAGTTAAATATTACTCGGTTGTTTACCCCTTTGAACGCACGCACAACGCCTCAAGGTACGTCGCCTACCACTGAAAGTACAATGCCGTTAAATCTTTCAAAATCAAACCCTGGACCTAAGGTGCTACTAAGCCTCTTATAACCGCTAGGCTACATGCCCTTTCGCTATATTTCTTAATATTTCTATATATACTAGCATGGTGGCCCGCATAGATTGCGTAGCTAGCATAATTATATTTTCTCTCATATAATAGCATATATGTTTTCACATTATATTATTCAATACATATTAAAATAACAACATAATTTTAAATTTTGCAATAACTTTATGAAACTACTAATGTATAATATTCATATTGTATTTTATATACGTGTTAGTTATTAATTATTTTTAATATCAAATTTTAGTTATTTGTAAATTATATATATTCATATATGGACTCTAGACTCATCTTTTAATATTTCTTTTTTAATTCTGAATTTTTATTATTTCTAATTGTATTTCTATGTGGACTCTAAACTCATATTTCAATGTTCTTTAATTTTTAATTTCAAATTTTAGTTACTTCTAAATTGTATTCCTATATTGACTTTAAACTCTTCTTCCCATGTTTTTCTTAATTTCTAATTTTAGTTATTTGTAAATTGTATTTTTATACGGACTCTAAACACTACTTTTAATTTTATTATGTTTATTCCGAATTTTAGTATGGATTCTATACTCTACTTCTAATATTCCTTATTTTAATTCCAAATTTCGGTTATTTCCTAATTGTATTTCTATATGGACTCTAGTGTCTTATTCTAATATTCTTTATTTTTTAATTCCGAATTTCAATTATTTCTAAATTATATTTCTATATGGACTCTAGTCTCCTCTTGTAATATTCATTTTTTTTAATTCCGAATTTCAGCTATTTCTAAATTGTATTTCTATACTCTACTTCTAATATTCATTATTTTTTAATTCCGAATTTCTATTTTTTTCTTAATTGTATTTCTATATGGGCTTTATACTCTACTTCTAATATTCCTTATTTTTAATTCCAAATTTCTATTATTTTCTAATTGTATTTCTATTTGGACTCTATACTCTACTTCTAATATTCCTTATTTTTAATTCCGAATTTCAGTTATTTCCTAATTGTATTTCTATATAGACTCTAGTCTCCTCTTCTAATGTTCCTTATTTTTTAATTCTGAATTTCAGCTATTTGTAAATTGTATTTCTATATGGACTCTGCCTTTTCTTTTTCTTCGATTAATGTGAGAATTTCTAGGCCATGAGAGCGAACGTGGAGGCTCCTTTTTCTATTCCTTTAATAATATAATATATTGTAACAAAAAACATGGTCAAATTTGCTTTTTTAACACTATTCTTGTTCAAAATGACATATATTATTAACCGTGAGGTAGTAGAAGGTCTCTTCATATTTGTAGCTCGTTTTACACAGTTCTAATGTTTGTAACCAAGAAGCTCACGTTCTCCTCCCACTACTCGCCTGACACTATCATTCAGTCGGGAATCCTCGTTGCCCGTGATCTCGTCGCCACCGCTCAATCGCTGATGACCAATACAATGACCCATGCGGACTCCCACGGCCATGATGATATGGCAAGACGAGTAGTGGTGGTATCAACGGGTTACAGGATCTGCTCTTTGATTTAGTCCATCGCTCCATCTCCTTCCACCCCAGTGTTAAGGGCAATGCTGTAACCCGAGGGAGATGGAATCGTATCTTCTGACATTAAAGAGTAATGTCACGGTTCCACTATGGAGATATTCCATCCCACGTACAGTTCCAAGCCCAACTTAAATTTTCTTTCACTTAGAGGGGCTATTTCCAACTGAGTATTTCTCGAGTGAACCATTGGACATGTACTCATAAAGGAGAGCTCCAAGGTTTCTCTTACCGCCGGTTACCGCGGGGCACTTATCGGCGGTAAGAGTTTGGTGAATTTTGAGCAAATTCAAAAATTGCAAAAAGAAATCGCAAAAAATGGAAAACAAAATCATGGATGTAGTTCTTGATTTGTAATTAAATTTTTTGAAAAATCATAAGATAAAATCAAATTTGAGGGCAAAACCAATAATAATTTTGGAAATGAAAACATAAAAAAAATATTGGGCCTTCATTTGCTCTGTGTAACCGGCCCATTAAGGCCCAATAGTTGAGAAAATATCTTCCGGCTGCTCTCCTTTCCTTCTTTCTGTCGACACGAGGTTGAATGTGCTATGAATTCTCATTATTAAGCTATGAAATCCATAATATAAAAAAGGTTATGCTAAATTTTTGTATTTTACATCCACAAGTTAGGTTTGCAAGTATCTTAAATATTCTTCTAATTATCCCTAGTTTCTACACATATTTAAATGTTTTCCATTTCTAAAGCATTTTTCATTTTTTTCATGTTTCTGTCAAACATGTCGCGGTTACCGTGCGAATATTGCGGTTACCGCATCAAACCGTGTGTTAACGTGAAACTGTCAATTTTTGAATTTAAATTTTTGAACACGAAATTTCACATGGGGGCCAATAACCCCCTCCCAAACAATAAGGTATACCCTGGAGGACTCTCTTTGAACCATGCAGGCAAAATCCTAAAAGGGTAACAATGCTCACGTGAGAAGTTTGCTGATCACAGTTACCTCATTTAGAAATCCCTCTTCATCGCCCTTGTATCCTCTAGCATCCTGGCGGCTACCTCGGTCATCAGACATGACACCTGGATCTATAAGCAACACCTAAACCGCCTTGTCTGAGCTTATGAGCAAAAGATCCTGTAATTATTCTCACTTCTTAGTAATTGTATCTCTTGAGGTGTGAATTTCCTTCCTTTCGCAAGAAAGACTCAATTTTTGCTACACTCCTTGACCCCTTTTGCCATGGCTGTATATTGTGATACTTCTTGTAAGAGAGGAAAACATGTGGAGAATTATGCAAACCCCCGATAGGCTACCAGCTATAACGATACCAAATAACATACTACATTTGTTTCACATTATAAGACATTATGGGTTTTAAATAGAACAAGAAAGGCAGCCCGCGCACATGCGCGGGCACCTATTTAATGTGTTTATAACAATAAAAATATTTATGTGTGAGTGACTTTTTACTGAAATATTTTTTACTCAATTCTAAATCTGTTTTCTTGTCAACACTTCATTTTCGATCGTTTTGAATGCTCATTCTGATTCCCTTCTAATTACCCTTAAAGCACATAAAGTCTAAACTAAAATTACTTGAATACTTGAATTTATGAATTTATAAAAGAATATTGTGTCATAATAATGGAGTTGGTTACCATATATATATATATATATATATATATATATAGTAAATTTGTTTGGTGCTCCATGGTGCCCGGGCACCATTGTTGAAATTGAGTATATACCCAATTCAAATGAGTATGAAACTTTTTCAATTACTTAGGTATTAACATTAACTACTTTACTAACAAGTTTAAAGCAAGTTTGAACTGAATTTGAACTTGTTTTTGTTAGATTTTGATTCTAGGTATATAGCATCCATATATATAATTAGTTAGGTATGTAATCATGGATTGTGAAATAAAGTTAAATTTGAGTTGTTTTGTTGATAAGTATAGGTATGAATCAAATTATTATAATTAGGTATATACTCACAATTTGAAAATTTTGAAAAATTTGAGTAATTTTGTGCATTAGATACCATGGTGCCCGGGCACCATGGTGCCCCATATGATATATATATATATATATATATATATGAAAATGCAGATTATATTGTCAAGCTCACATGCACACACAATCTACACCATTGATGTGTTCTAAGATTCGTGCTGCAAAATGTATCTAACCTTGACCAAATGAATTCTTACTATAGAAAGAAAAGATTAGGTTGGTACACAACACATATAATAAGTATGTTGTATTTTTTTTACCAAATATTTTTTTCAATAACAATCATATATGAAATTTGTGCATGGTATTTCTGTAACCCTTATTTTTTTTATAACATGATATTTAGCCAACATGAGAAAATGTTACATCTATTATATCACCAAATTATCATCTTGCAAAAATGATATATCCTACCATCCAAAACTACATAAACGAGGTAATGATATAAACAAGATAATTTATATAAACAAGGTAAATTTGATCTGATAATTTGATAACCTCAATGTTTTACATATAAGAAAAAAAATTACATCAACAAGGTATTTTGCACTTGTAAAAAATATTTTATAAAGTAAACATCATGTATGGTACATTTTGTTAGGACCTAATGTACCTGCTCTAAGATTCGTGCAACCTATATATAGGGTGTAGATTGTGGGTGCATGTGTGCTCGAGTGCAAAAAATACAACTCCTATATATA